AATTTGGTATGATCTCAGCCCTACATGGAGGTCGATACTTTTTTCACATGTCAGGTCGTTTTCTCAGGGCGGTTGTCGCCTATATTTTCCAAATCGGGTCACTTTTCCATTTTCTGTGCATAATTGAGTTTACGATTAATCCTCCACATGGGTTCTTTGGATTGGACTGTCCAGGTCGGTTGTCAACAATAATAATATTCTACCAAAAATAAAACAACTAATAAAAATATATATTTATACATGTACACAAAAGAATCGGAAAGCAAAATAAAATATAATTAAAAATAATGTATTCAACAGTTGCTATTGTGGCAAATCCTTCCCCATTTTGGAGAAATAACTTACAAAATATAATGACTGCATTTATTACTTTGCATAATATGATAACTAAGGATGAACGAGATCTCGATGTACCAATCGAAGTTGCGATAGAGGCCTGGATCCCAAATGTTGAAACAGTGGGGAATGAAGTTTCTCAGTTCCAAGCATTTGTTGCTCGATACAGACAAGTTTGAGATAAAGACGCTCATATCGCGCTTCATACTGCATTGGTTGATCATTATGGGAGGAATTTTCTAATTCAGAAAATTAGATGTAATGTTATTTTATTTGTTGTTTGTAATGGTTTTTAATTGTTTGATGTGTTATAGAATTTGTATTCATGTTGTTTGAATTTATGAAGCAGTCTCGTGTTGTTATGCATAAACATATTTTTATTATTTGGGTAATAAAAATTTATATAAGATTAAATATACAGATATATACCAATTTATTTGAAAAAAAAATTAACAAAAAAATATTATATTTGTAGAGTAAAATGTTGCACGAAAGGTTGAAGATGGAACTTGAATTGGCTTACTGTGGTCTAAAGTAAATTGTACTCTAGATTATAGCAAATGGCTGAAGATGATTTTAGGCATACTAAGGTCATCTTCAGCCCTTATCTCTACTCTAGTGTAGACTTTACCCTACTCTATAGCAGAGTTGAACATTTCGTGTCCAAGTTTTATCTCTATATTTTATTCTACATCAAATATATTAATTTTTGTTCATTTTTATTTCAAATAAATTAGTATATATGTATATTTAATCTTATATAAATATTTATTATCCAAATAACAAAGAAAAATTCTATGGAGCTATCAGATTGTTTACTTACGGCGTCATCCATCACTTTATGTATTGACACTTGTCCAAAGTGTATTTATTATAGGACACGCTCGATACACTATTGTGAATAAGTGTGGATGACTCCATAAATCGAGTCATCCGATGACTCTATAGCAAAACTGTGTTTTTATTTGTGTATTTTATGGTTATTGTAAACTTCTAATTCTAATGAAATCTACTTGTTTGAATGTGTTAAATTTTTATTCATATGGTACCATTTTAATATTAAAAATTATAATACATCAATCAATAAAAAGCATAAAATTATTTAGCATAAAAATTACATTGCACAAAATTATGTAGCATAAAAATACATTTATTAATACACATTACACAAAAAATTATTAATAATATTACATTAAAAATAGAAAAAAAAAAATTCTGACGCATATAAACAGTGTTGCGCTAGAACTAGCGTAACATTATTCATATATCTTATATAGCGCTGAAAACTAGCGCAACCTTGGGGATAAAAAATCACGCTACTCCAGCATTTTGCTCCACTTTGGAGCAGCGTTGGGGAGGCTCTAACTAGAACTGTAAATGAGTCGAGCGAGCTCGAGCTCGACTCGTTAAGGTCTCGAGCTCGAGCCTTAACGAGCCGATATCGAGTTTTACCGAGCCGAACTATACAAAATTATATAAAAATTCTATTTTCGAGCCTTATCGAGCTAAGACGAGCCCGACTCGTTAACCAATCGAGCTTTAAATGAGCTCGAGCTCGGCTCGTTAAGGCCTCGAACTCGAGCCGAGCTCGAGCTCTAACAAGCTGAGCTGAACCGCGCTAGGCTCGTTTAATTTAACAACACTAATACTAACTGAAAACCTACCAAGTAAATGGATGATATGAAAGGATATATTTTCAATTTTCCCAAGATGAACATTTGGAGTTTATATTGTGTCCATCCTTCAATTATTGAGCTACTGAAAATCTGAAATAATCGTTTTAGGTTGAAATAACACTTGTAATACAAATATTTTTCCCTCATTTCAATCTCAAGCACAATGGCTTCACAATTGCCTCCTCTACTTTAAAATTCAATACCAGAATTTTAAAACAATAATTAAATTCATGAATCAAACCTGTAAAGTGATAAACACACAACGTAAATAGAAATCTACAAACCAGAAATGGAACAATATATTTTAATTTTGAAAAGGAATTTAGCAAAATGTATTTCATATCGGTTGTAGACTGAATTCAAATCATGTCATATTCAAGAAGACAAGAACACGTAGGATCTATGCAGCCTATTGCCTAATGCCTACCTTTGCCTAGTATGATCAAGCAATGAGTTACATATACCATATGTGCAAATGCTGCAACTTATCAGAAGAAAATTGCTTCTTAGCCAACCAAACGACGAGTTTCAGAAGAAAACAGACAAACGCAAATTGTGGATAATCACAAGAACGACGCCACACAAATTATTATTAAATATATAAAAGACACAGGAATCACACCATATACACACTCCACCTGATCCCATTCTTTTTTTCTTTTATGTTCATTTTTCACTCATTTGCACTCACAACATGGAAGCTCGACTGTCTGATTTTTCTTTTTTCTAAAAAAAAAACAAAGAAAAAAACAGTTTCACATATTTTATCAGCCATATTTATTGTTAATATAGTTCCACACATAACATTATTAAATCAAAAAAGGACTCATCTTTTTTTTTTTATCAAGAAAATAACTTTTTTAAGGGCGAGCATAACGTACGCACACGCGTCTCTGGATCGGGCTTCTACAGGATGGGCAGTCTTTCATTCCCTGCTTTTCATGCAGCTCGTTGCACATTGTACAAACCACTTGATGCGCGCACGGCAGGAAAACCACCGACATCTCTTCTGACAGGCACATCACACATTCTCTCTCCCTTTTCACGCCCCCATTGGCCGTGAGGTCCTTCAGGATTGTGGTGTGAGAGACAGTCAGGCCCTTGTGCAGTGGCGTGTTTTTCAAGCTGGTGACCTTGCTGGCGTAGCTGGCATCTATGCCCCTCCTAAGGGCGGCTATTTTCGACGAGTCGGTTTTGAGCCTGAGCTTAGAGATTTCGCGCTCAAGCCTCTCAATGTCATCCTTGTACTTCTGCAGATTAGTTTGGGCTCTTGATTTGACGGTGTCTTCCTTGGATTGAGTTGAGACCTCGATTTGTTCTTTTTCTTTTTTGAAGGAGGAGGCCTGAGAGAGCAGCTCGTCTTTGGCCTTCTGTTCCTCGTGAAGTTTGGCCTGTGATCGGTGTTATTGTTTCAATGTCACCAGTCGATCAAAAAGGAGTATTAACAATAATTATAAAAAGAAATAAACAAATTAAATGGCAGAACAAATACCTCATTTATTTCCCTAAATTTAATGATTTGCGTCCTTAAGTTTATACTACCACACATTGATGAAGAACCACTTCAAACAAAAATGTAGGTTGGATTGGATAAAATTGTTATCAGGCAGAATGAAAGAGGTCAACGGGTTCAGTTTCTACATATTTTGAGTGAACAATCAAAATTGAGGATGAAGTAGCATACGATGATGGATTAACTATATTGTCTAGTTTTGTCTTTATGGCATACGTAATATTGAGAACTAGAGATGTAAGAAGTACTAAGCTATTCCCAAATGACACTCCGGTTGCCTGCTGCTGGTCCCGCCTTTGAAGAAAAGCAGCTTGTCCAACTTGTTGCCAAAACAAAATTTCAGTGCTTCAATTGGATGGCAAATATGTATGCACAAAGTTCAGTTGGATGGCAAATTGGAAGTGTAGTATGCAAAAGCAATATGTGTTGAGGTCCTTAATTTTTTTCTCGATCAAATCAAAACCAGAGATCCAATATTTAAATGAACATACTAACAGAGACACATGGGAGAAATCACATGCACTTTCACCCAATCTAGCGTTGAGAACAGAACTTGAAGTCATTATAATGTTCCCATTAAAATTGTGTGAGCCATATTGAGATTGCACATATTTGAAAGTTCCGTATAGTGCAAAAAGTAAGTTCACCCGTACTATGAGAATCTGCGTCAACCATTACGCAACAGTTATTAACTTATTTCCAGTATCAGTATAATAATGAGAGATATGGGTTTATTCCAAGCCCTCCTGCAATTTGGGATGCCGATTTCACCTTGTTTAGGATCGTTCTATACAGTGAACAAGAACTCAAGCAGCCTTCAATCATCGTATGTAACTCATCCAATTACACTGATGTTATTTACTTAATATAAACCCGTCTACCACAGAACTCGGAAAAGTACACCTCGTATTTGGCATGGACAGCATACAATACTTAAAAACCAGATCGTCAAAAAGATTTGTTTGTCCTTGAACATAACTGCAGCTGTGTTCTCCACTCCAGACAAGTATACAAATACAAACAAGCAAACTGCATACAAATAGCAGACAAGTCGACACAAAATAGTTGTCAAACACATGTACACAGCAAACACCGTAACCCTGTACCTCTTAACCACACAATACTCGTAAATTCTCAGAGCCAGCACACTCGTTTTCACCCAACACATGTAAAAAGCAGGTTGACACCAATCATAACAGCCAAAAACATACCTCGACTTGGTCCTGAGCATCCTTTGCCTGCTGCAGTCTCTCCCGTACCTGTGCGATCCTCAACCTCTCCCCAACCAGCTCCTCCTGCAGGGCCGCCTTCTGCTTCTCCCATGACTGGAACTTCACCAGTGTTTTCTTCTCCCTCCTCGACACCTCCCGACAGCTGGCAGCCGACTCTGCCTCCCTCTGCCTGGCCGCCTCCATCTCCTGCCTCAAGGCCAAGTTCTCCACCTCCAGCCTCCGCACGGCCGCATTGGCCCGTTCCACCTGCCCGCTCGCCTTGCACAGCGCGTTCTCCATCTCCAACAGCTTCTTCATCGTGCTCTCCTCCAGAGTCTGCTTCTCCTTCTTCAGCTGCTCAACCTCCTCCTTCTCCTGCCTCAGGGCCTTCAGCTCAGCCTTGTCCTTTCCAAGCCTCCGTGCTGCCTGCATAACCTTTTGGTTTGCCCACTCCGTCCACTCCTGCAGCTGGTTTTGCAGCTCCCTCGCCCGTGGGACAAGCTTCAT